AATGACAGATCCTGGCATTATTTATGAGGCTCTATCTGCGCTAATAAATGACAATACATATTCGGCAGCCCTGCTCGCGGTACATGTGGATTTTTGCGTTATCTAGGATAACAATGGACCTGAAAAACAAAATGAAAACTATAGCGAGTCACAGCATCGAACCACTGCTTGCAAGTACCTCGGGAGCGGCCATGGATTAATGTACGGAGCATTTTTTTGTTCTGAAAGCCTCGTGAAAAGCTAAACGATCAAAGGTTCCTGTAGTAGACTCCCACGCGAAAAAGGCGCCCACGTCAAAAGCGGCTAAGACCGATCGTCTTTCACCTCTAGTAAACGGCAGGCTAACTATTGCCGGCAGGGCAGCCGAAAAATAAATTGACGCTCAAGTAATTGTTATAAATATTATTGCATAATTTATGAGCGGTGGCTTAGACCGTACCATTATTTATGATACCAGATTACTATTCCACACTCATAATTTATGATACTATCTCACGAACGGTGCGGAAGACGGCGGCGAGGATCCAGAGGGCTCGTTTGTCCAGCGTCTCGAGAAGCGTCGCCGGCTCGAGGCGCGAACGCCCCGCTACGACCTCATCTCCAGCATCCCGCCGACCTCGAACAAGGTCGAGCGGTTTTCAGCGTGGCGCGTACCACGTTTGCTCAAGAGCGCAACAGTCTCCAGTCCGCTACGCTGGAAACAATTTTGTTTCTGCGTGAGAATGGTGACTTCTGGGACGTTTCGACAGTCGATAGCGTCAATTAGTGTGAGTAACAGTACGTCTAATACCCCGTTGAAGTTGCACCACATTATTTATTTATTGCTCGAATACATTACATAATTTATGCAGATACAAATGACAAGATCCTGGCATTATTTATGAGGCTCTATCTGCGCTAATAAATGACAATACCATATTCGGCAGTCCTGCTCGCGGTACATGTGGATTTTTGCGTTATCTAGGATAACAATGGACCTGAAAAACAAAATGAAAACTATAGCGAGTCACAGCATCTAACCACTGCTTGCAAGTACCTCGGGAGCGGCCATGGATTAATGTACGGAGCATTTTTTTGTTCTGAAAGCCTCGTGAAAAGCTAAACGATCAAAGGTTCCTGTAGTAGACTCCCACGCGAAAAAGGCGCCCACGTCAAAAGCGGCTAAGACCGATCGTCTTTCACCTCTAGTAAACGGCAGGCTAACTATTGCCGGCAGGGCAGCCGAAAAATAAATTGACGCTCAAGTAATTGTTATAAATATTATTGCATAATTTATGAGCGGTGGCTTAGACCGTACCATTATTTATGATACCAGATTACTATTCCACACTCATAATTTATGATACTATCTCACGAACGGTGCGGAAGACGGCGGCGAGGATCCAGAGGGCTCGTTTGTCCAGCGTCTCGAGAAGCGTCGCCGGCTCGAGGCGCGAACGCCCCGCTACGACCTCATCTCCAGCATCCCGCCGACCTCGAACAAGGTCGAGCGGTTTTCAGCGTGGCGCGTACCACGT